CATTGACAGTATGCGACTAAGCCTTACGGAAGGGAATGGATGGGGAGAATGTGAGATTTCTCCTCTCACTTGGCTTAGTTCCATGTCACATACCATCTGCTCTTTTTTGAATGTCCCCCCTCCCCAAGGCTATGAGCGCTGGATTTAATCTGGGTAATCTTAGAATCTGATGTTCATGTTGCAACAAGAGAGGCGGCAATCACACTCACTAGAGGACGAGCTAGAGACGGAGCTAGGTAGGTAATGAAGGCAGGTGGTGCGACAGAGGTTAGCGTTCAAGAAATAGGTACGAATACGTAAAGCAGTAGAAACAAAACGTACTTACTTATAATAGTTCATATTCTCTATGCGCTGCCTTTTTGTCGGAAAAAGCTCATCAGAAAAGAAACCTGATCGCAGCATTTGCTCGCTTTGCGACAACGATGACAAGTTTATCTGAAATTCTCCAGTGATAACCATATTCACTACTTAAACCTGGTTGTAGAATTAATGACTGTGAAAGGAACGTACGTTGAGCTTCAGTTGGTGGAACCCAACATGGCGCCTTGATAGTCCGACGTTTACGAGTACGCTGTTGCAGGAACGAACACGGTGACGACCACTATGAGGATGGCAAAGCATCCGATAATGAATGACCAGTAACCGTCGGAGTAGGAAAACGTCGGTCCGTCAGAGAGTTTGCGACGAGCAATTGCCTCGTAGATGGGCATTCCCATCTCAGCCAGATCCTTAAGCGAGCACAAATTACCAATGTGAGTCTTTCTTTGCCCAAATAAAGCCGATACCTTTTTCGCATTCGCAGCTCCCAGGTAGTTGGCTACAATGCCTCACATCACTGAAGCATTCGCCATAACAGTCTGCAACATCCACCTCAATCCATACTAGAACACCCACATCCGGATTGGCTCTTTTCATCCGAATTTCTCCTCCATAACTGATCGATAACTCCTGGAATAGCCAACATCAAACAACGCAGATGAAAAGAATTAAGTCATAGTCAAAAGATCAACAAGGATGTTGATTGTCGCTGGCCCTTCTTACAATGTGCCAGGATTTTTACTTCAATCAGGATTTTGGTGACATTTTTGAGTACTATCTGGCCTAGACATTGATGTGATATTATTTATACATTCATTATTTTACATATCTGTATATTATTCTTTCAGCTAGTGCTTCCACTCTATGAGTAGGCTGGATATACAATTAAGCTCCCTAAGATTGCGAAGTAAGTTGTCCTGGGCGGACATGATCCTAACCATAATAATCGACGGGGTGAATGCCATGTTACATCCCTTCACCACAATTATCTATAACTAAATAAATAAAATGCTGAAAATTAATGCAAAGAATGCCCAGTCCTGGCGCTATAAGGCGATCTTCAGCAACCGCATTCTACATCTTGGATCAAACGACTTCAAGACTACTGCAGCTTGCTGTTCACTCACTGTCTTGATATATATCATATCAATACCTTACCAACTTTAAATTGAATACTACTGCTAGTTCTCAAGTAGCGTACAACGGAAGAGATTGCGCGTGAGACGGTGCTTGTGGTCCGTGGTGTAGTTGGTTATCACTTCTGCTTGTACACGCAGAGCCCCGCCGGTTTCGATTCTCCGCACAGTACCTCTCGCACGTTATGCGCAAGCGTGCGCCATAAAGTTGTGAACGTATTATGAATGTCATACAACCATGTACCACGGTACACGCCGCTTGCATTATCCAGCCCCATTCTCCCCATTTAACTTGGTGAAATTCGAAATCCGCATTACGCAAGCGCGATTCACTTATTCCACCTCTCATTTCAGAGCATATAGTTAACGTAACTCCAATCCTTACACGCCTGCTGCGAGCTGAGAGTCTTGGTCTTCTGAGCAACACTGTCACCAGCAGCATTGCCAAGTGATTTTGGGGATATGCAATTACAAACGAGATTCTTACCAAAAAAAATCCAAAAAAGACTCGAAAACTCGTACATTGGTCGATTCAGGCATCTACCGGTGGGGGGGGAGGGTAAACGGGTGTTAATCTGCGATTGTGTAGATTAATTGGTAATTCTCGCCACACGGCCCCCCCCTGCCGACGGCAGTGATTTAGTCGTTAAATGTTTGGGATTGGAACAACGGCTGGAGAATAAAGGAAAACTTATGGGCGCATGATAACAGGAAAATAGCAATCACCTCTTCTTTACCACCTAGCATCCTTTTATGCAAGAAACTTCTTCATCCATTGTGTCGCTGTCACAAGTGCAAGTAAGTACTATCTGTGAGAAGGTTAGCTAAAGAAGATTAGCAGTGCAAGTAGGGCTTGCAATGCTTACCCTCACAATATCAAAATCTTTGATCAATATGCCGCATCTAAACCAGATTCAAACATTTCCGAGTGTAATGAAATTATTGTCCAGACTCATCTGACATGAGAGGATGAGAACGCTGGCATGAACATCGCCCTGCGCAAGTCATGACATAGGAAAATACCCTTTCAATGTCACTGCCATTATGAAGTGATATCGAAGGTGGGGCGCGTCTCAAACGGGGACTGTTTAATCGAAGAACCTCAGCCGTTACATTCTATTAAAAACCAGCAGAAGACAATGTGCAACTGACCTGGTCATGACTGAAAGCGACCCGCTTAGAAGATGGACGTCCATTCCAGTGGAACACAAGTGGACCAAGTTCATCACTTTTTATTCGAATTGAGGCTCGTAGTTTCTGACTTAACGTGAGTAGGAACAGACCAACGTTTTTCACGAATTCCTGGGGAGTCGTAAGAACCACTATGGAAATGTCACCAGGAAGCTGCAAAATCAGATATTAAACAATACTTGTGAAATCATTAAAACTTTCAGTGAACAGTGGCAATAAAATAGCCACTGACAATAGAAGGCGGCTTCTTTCTCGAACAGTCTCCACCATCAAAAGCACATTCCGGTGAGTTGCACTGGTCGTCACAGATACCGTCATGACCATGAATACGGCAGTAATCCACGATGTTCAAGGGGCAATCACGGTGAACGGGAGCGCAGTCGAAGCCATCAAACAGACATGCCTCGTTGTTGCAGATCTTAAAATTTCTGAATTAGAGAGTAGAATCAAGGCGCGTGTGAGAATCTGAACTCAAAGACTGAAACAGTTGTAGGTTTTGGGATTGGTCCGTGAAGGGTAACGACGCAGTGGTGCTTGGGGTAGAGTAACTGACGTTACCGGAGCGCTACAGTATTACGTATTTCCCGATCTCATAAGTACACCTTTCTGTCACGGCTCCACATTCAGAGTAGAACGAAATGAAAATGTTTAGAAGAGATCAGTACTTGTTTTTCCCTTCAAAAATGAAGTAATTCATTTTGAAGAAAACAAGTAAAAGTTCTGTAGTCAAAGGCTGCCAGTTCAGTCATTGAAGCGTGCGTGGCTTAATTCTATAGAATG